ACGCTCCATAATGTGCTCGTGAGCGCCCCGGCGCTGCAGGGTGTAGGCACACTTGCATCCGGCGGGCAAAGTTGTCGATAACCCGATGGCTGTGCACTTTACAGAGTGCAATGGCCTTTGGAGACAGTGCTCAGGGGGTGTGCTACCCCTGAAACGTTATTCTTATCGGGTTATCGGCAACTTTGCCCGCCGGATGCAGGTGTGCCTACGCCCTGCAGCGCCGGGGCGCTCACGAGCACATTGTGGAGCGTCCGTAAAACACACACTGTACTAAAAGTATTCGTAGTGAAGACTTGAAACTTGGTGGATGTCTGCTACATAGGTGTGACCTAAAGTGGCCGAAGTTTGGTGATGATCTGAATAAAACTTCCGAAGTTATTCGAATTTTGGTGATGACCGCTTTTTTGTGTCACCCTGTATGAACGGTTTGTCAATGTAACGTACGTAATTAAAAACTGACGAATCACAATTAACATCTGGCGCACATTCGACAAACTTTACAGCCGTTTTGATGGAGTTGTTAGCTCTAATATTTGAAGTTTCGAAACGTTATCCAGGTTAATGGTAGGTTAGGTGTGCATCATTCAGTTAAAGTGGGTGGGAACCGAACTTAATATACGTTAGCTTAATGTCGTTGCTGGAAGTTTCCAAATTTATCGTGCCCAATCATGACAGCCATTGAATAGCAAGAGGCATTTAAGTGCGTCACGCGAAGTTTCTAAGACCGGTCAGCTTCATCGATGACTTACTCAATATCAAACAATATAATAAACTTAGTCAATATCGTGCCTGCTTAGTCGACAAACGTCGTTAGCTATCATTCGTATTTCAGTTTTTTTCTTTGTGTGGGTGATAAAAAGCCAATGTGATGCTCGTATTGTGGGAGAATAAAGTGCGAATATTTTATGAATAAATGATTCTATGGTGATTATTTTTTTTTTGTTACTCTAAACAATGAGTAGGTATGCACCGTTTGCACCACTTACGTGTTAGCTGCTGTACCAAAGATAGCCCTTTGTTCATTTTTTTACACCCTCTTGCCATGGAATGATATGGGTAGGATCAAGGGTGTGGCGATCACTTTGTGCTATTAATTACTAGCGCAGCCGCCATATGGTGTTTATTGGATAGCCTGGGGCTACACCGTTTTCACTGAAACTTTGACGAGAGAGCAAACAATCATTTGTTGGTCAGCCGAGCGGCGACAAACACGCGGCGCCACTCTCCGACTCCTGGCCAGATATCCATCACTCGGGAGACAATGGCGCACGGCCACCGAGCGTGGCTGCCATCGCGGCGAGCCCGCGACAAATCAGACGCACTTGGTTTCACTGCGCGGCGGCGGCTGACCCTCTTCGGCCGCTATTTTCCGGATTGCACAGAACGCGGAGACAGTCGGACCGTGGCGATAAAAACACGAAACGGTTCTGTGAACTGCCACGGAACAGAAAACTCAGACGACGAAGACTTTTACCGGACGAGTTGGCTGCAAAACTGCGACAGTGCGTGCCGGCCTAGACAGCCGAAATGGCATCGGCCCCGGCACCGTTGGGCTCGCCATTGTTTTGGAGGGTGATATTCTGCAGTGGATGCTGCCAATTATCGCACAGTAGGACACTTCACAATCCAAATGCCGAGGTCATGCCACCGGGGTCTAAACTGCCGACATGACCTCTTCCTCGTTTGGCAAACAGTCCTCACGTATAACAGCGGTTGCTTTGTCGCCATTCTGGAGTGTTGTGCCCGGATGCTCTCTGCAAAGTGCGTCCGTTTGAGACGTAAATACCGGACTGAGAGTCTCGAGAGGCCATCCCACTAGCGGGATGGCCTTCAAACACCTATCCAAGCAGTACCGGTGACCTCGGCCCAGAAATAGGCACTACACCGCACTAGTCCGGCGAGGGAGATCTCCAGTCCAACCGGCGTAAAATTGTCGTCCTATTAAATCCCCGCTTGTAGAACAATGTGCCAAATTATCTCTTACGCTTGTGTTCTACTGATGTTACGGCAAGAGAAGGTGACGCTGGATTTTCCGCGGCAGCTGTATCGTTGACCTCTGCCTGGGGCGCCCGGCGAGCGGCGTCCACATCAATCACTCTCGATTCGACCAGGACTTCATGGTCGGCCTCCCCATACCAAACGCGGGCTCGTTACTGACATAAGTGGCTCATTAGACCGAGCGGTCACCGGCCGCGACCGGCCCGACAACCCCTGGGTCACTGGAGTTCATCCTGTGCGTGCTGGACACTCTCAGAGCATCTCAAAACACGGTAAACACGCCCCTCATTGCAGCGTTTAAGGATCACAGCATACCAACCTAACCAAACTTCCAACTTCCAAGACAACTGTGAGGCCGATGACAGCTCATGTTTGCCCGACATCTTCAAGGAAGTGTGATTCACCGGCCCACCGTATGGAAATCAGTGATCCACACCACAGCACCCGTGTTTTACCGGAGCCGCGACCCGCGCACCGACCGCACGCTGACCGCCGAGGACGTGACGCGTGACGTCACGGACCGTGAACGTGACGTGACGGTCTCGATGGCTCGGTGACGCTGCTCGGTCGGCGCGGCGGTCGCCCGGGGGCACCCGAGGTCGGGACTCGGGAGGTGGGCGGTCTTGGGTTCGCGATACTGCACTTGCGGCCAGGCAGGAGTGAAGACTAGAGACATCGAGTCACCCCCGCTTGATCGGCGCTGGTTGGGCGTCGTCAGAGCGTGTGATGGAGTTGTGACTGCGGTTCATGCCCGTTCATCCCACAGTTCATCTCTGACAGTAATCACTGCTCAGACAGATACACAGCAAGAGGTAATGCACAATGTAGACGCGTTCTTACACGCGTTGTACCTGTAGACGAGTTAGGTATATCTCCGATCGTCTGCTTTTGGTCACCGACGCCGACATTAGACCTAGACGCATCACATGGCGAGACAATAGTCGATGAATGACGGAAACACGAACCGACAGGCTAACTAGAGGCTCAGCTCTAGCACAAATACGATTATTGATTTTGGCTCAGCAGCGAACGCCGACAGAGGCAGTGGCGTTTGTTACTTGGCCATGATGTTATAAAGCTAATAATTTATATGTGATCGTGCTCGGATTTGACGTGAGGGCCTTGGCTCTGATTGTATGATTTTGAATTGATTATAAACCATGCCAAAAGTAAAAGGTTCATCACAAAAATACCTACTGTTTTCGCTTACTATCGGAATAATCATACTGAATTAATTCTACCACGGTATGAATGTTAGAATATACGAATAACATTAACTTCGAAAGCGATTATCCTTCGTCGATAATTTACATGTTACGCCACCCCTATCCAATGGAATCTCAGACACGTAGCGTCGGACAACTGTTCGCCTCACAGACGGAAATAAGACATGCTCACTCGGCAGCCGGCGCGGCCGATCACTGGCGTGTTTTCTCCGTCGACCATGGAGCGTCTCTCCGCGGAATGTACGATCCACCGTCTGACAGATGTCGTCCGGAGGCAATGGGCCCGCCGGAGCTGGATTCATCGTCGGCAGCCCGGCAGAAGCAGCGAAAGTTAGCCAGCCAGACGCCACCCCGGCGGCCGGCGGCGAGGGGCCATCGCTCCGAATAGTTTTCACTCGCCAGGACTGAGGTCCTTGAGCAATGGGTGCGCGCTGGACCGGGGACATGGGGTCCTGTCGTACGGACGGCCCCGGGGCGGGCAGGGTGCACCTCAACGCACCCTGCGCAGCCGCGGGGGCATACTTTCTGCGGCCGCAGACCAGTCGCGGTCGGTAATGAGAGTGCCACAAAAACTCCGGGTCGGTGCGCGGGGTTAGCACGACTAATTTCTGATAATGAATAGTCCCTTCTAGACCGGGGATGGTCGGGGGTCGGTAATCGGGCTGTTTCTGACCGTGGAGCGCACCCGAGCTCATTCGTTGGCCGGTCGGCATGATGTATTGTCTGTGACGCATGAAGCAATTGACGGCATTTAGTCGAGAGCAAAAACGACTTTCAAGAACCGTGACTAATCGCAGATCAGACACGAGTATTCAAAGTGATCGAGCACCTGTTTTATATGGGGTAGATTACGCACTTGAGGTACTTCACTGCACGGGAATGTGACACGACTTTGATATGAATGTCCTAAGGCGTCTCACGTGATTGCAATAAATATATATCCATTATGTTAAATATTCCACGCCTTGATGCTGAGTGCCATTTCTAAAAGGATCCCCGATCCCCAACTCATACTTATCAATTACATACCAAATATAACCCTACCAAATATAACATGTGCGAAGATGATCAAAAGGTGTATCCGTTTGTGCTGAAAATAAAATACTACGGACAAATGTAAGCGAGTCGTTCAATGTGCCATGCTTAGTGCTTAGTGCTTAGACAAGGACTTATGCTATGCAATCGCCGATCGTTTTAGGAGTTCGCTGACCGACTCTTCCCGGGAAGAGCAGCGACGCAATAGCAAGGTCTGCACAATGAGCTGCATAATTATCCGACACTCAATCTACTCAATAATTTTCACCCTAAACGGGTACCAAATTACACTTGTTGAGCACATCTGTCATTCGCAACTTTCGTTATAGAGCGGCTAGCTTCAATGAAATAAGAGCTTATAATGAAAATGTGGAAGTGCACTGTTCAGTGTTCATAATCAAAGTCGTAACATCATTAGGTACCATGTCGGCTTTCTTGCATGCTCCGAAGTCCAAACACTGAGTTATCGATGAGCTGCTCGGTCATCATACTCCATATTTGTTTATCCCTGAGACCCCAGCTCGACTTCCCCCTTTCTTTGTGGGCTCTCAGCTCGTGCCCATCACGTGTCGCCTGGTAGACAGCTGGGAGCACTCTCCTTGTCTGTCGTAGCTTCCTGAGACTTTCTAGGCATACACAAACAGACGAGTACCGATTCCGGCCGCGGGCTGAACACAGACTGATGAGGCAATACGGCGGCAGGTGTTGGGTGCGGAGCGTCGCTTCCCTTTGCCGACCGCCGAGCCGCCGCGGGCAGACGGCTCGGTGCGCGGTCACAATGGGAGCTGACGAGCTACGCGCTCTCTTGTGTGGACGCCCACCGCAGAGTGACGCTCCTGGGCGTGAAACACTGCGCCGTAAATACTGAGGATGGACAATGGCGAGCTGGTTGCTGAGTGGCATGTCACCAAACCACTGGACTTGCTGCGGTGCTGCGGTAATTTCACTGCAAAGCCCAACCATGAGAAGATACAAGGAGTCAACCAATTAGTTGCACGTGTTCATGATTGCCTGTTTAGTATTCCATCCATGTCGCCGACCGCTGACGACCTCTGTCAGCGCTACAGGCATCTCCTGACCACTCCTCTAACAATCGGAAGTCTCCTCCGCCTCAGCTAATGTTTAGAGCGGCTAGCGTGCGCCTCGATTAGCGCCTGTTTAATGAGGGATCCGGGGGAGGGCGACGCTCGTCAGCGGGCGAGCGTGCCCCGCGGCGGCGGCGGCGACGCGTGCGGACGCCCTCGCGCCGTTTCCTTTCACTGCGCTCACGGCGTCTTTGGCGCACTTGCGGCGGCCGACGGAGGAAAGTGAGGCGCCGCGCCGCCGCCGCAGTCGGCTCGCGGACAGCGACGGATGCGGCGCGGATGCGGCAGCGCGCGGCGCATGGCAATGTGCACGTGAGGTCGACACGAGTGGCTACGGACACGGGGACTGGAGTGCGGTACTGGGAGAGCGAGTTGGACAAACGAGGAGTGTGCTTACATAGTGGACATGTAGGGGAGAGGCAGAGCTGATAGGAGTCGAAGAAACTAATAAGTGCTGGACAGTAATAAGTGAGACACTGGAGATCACGAAGTGACAGCTAGTGAAGCGAAGGCAAGGAAAGGATCTACATAAACAGAATCTTACGGACTCAAGGTAAGTCGAATCTCTGCTCTATGTGGGATAACTACTCTTGTGGTAAGCTTGCTATAACCAGATGCCGATATAGCGCATGTTCTTATGGTAAATTGAGTAACTGAGTTTGAAGCGATAGCAAACTGACTAGCACATATACCTATGCGTGGCGCTCGAACCATGTGTCATTGAAAACAAAATTAGACAGCTCATCTCCCTTTATTCATAAAAACGCGACGGGCCGACGAGCTGCAGCATACCTATAGTGGTCGTAGGTATGGTCCGGTGGGTGCTATGTGAATCTCTTAAACGGAACAACAAACCATGACATCTGCATTGCTTTGGTTACTGACAACTGAATTTTGTTGATCTTTAGCGAGCTAAGCAAGAAACTTATGTCCAGTCTATGCAGAAGTCAACAAATGTTGGACGAACATTTCTGTCAAATTAAGGCCTGCTATCAAGGCGTTGACCTAATCATAGTTTTAAGAGACAAATTCATCAAGAAAGCTACACTACAGATGCTCTACTTTTCCAATGTCGCGAAACTTAGACCCATTCGTGCATATTCAGAATAATGAGGTTGTGGCTACAGGTTTGTGGTCGCGCACGACACAAGCGAAGCCTTCCTCACAATGGTCGGTTACATTATCAGTCGCACTGATGGCCCAGAAGCAGCTCCAGAAAGATTTGGTGAGGATAAAGGGCGTTGCAAATAAAAGCGCCAGTTTGCAATCCGCTTGACTTGCGCGCATTTTCTAATACCGGAGAGGCGCGACGGTTTGCTGCAGAGGGAGGGAGGCCTCACAGGGGCTGGCGGCAGATTCTCACGTGCCTGTTCCCACATGGACAGTGTAGTTTTCTTTGGAGCATTCACCCTGCCGCCGGCGCTACTGCTACCAAGCTGGCATAAAACACACGGATTTTCACAGCTTACACCACTACTATTGGCACAACGATGCCGTTCCTCCCATCAGTAATTCAGCTGAGGGAATTTAATTACACAAGCAGGGCATATTAGGTAATTATGGCTAAGCGGATGTTTGTCACGGAATATTACAACAAAAAGTGTGTCGTAATATGCAGAAACAAAGTCATGAAAAGTGACAGTGATGAAGCCTGCAAGTGTGGGGCTAATTTTACACCTATAGATAAACAACGCATAAGGCACAGTGGGCGAAACTTTATTCTGCATGGTGCTGATTTATATAGGCTCTTCTGTTGCCACCTAGATAAGTAAGTTAATAAAAGCAACACGTTCTTAACTATTGTTTGCCTTCCATGGAATTGCTTTCAAATATAATGACTGTGCTGACAATCTGACAAAGCTGACAACAAAAAACCAGCGAATGAAGCATTAATGTAGCATGCATTGCATTGCGAGCCTATACCGTAAAAGCTCACCACTATTTTCCGTTCTCACTGTACCTCCACTACGACTTGAACACGCTGCTAGGTAACTTTCTAAAGTGAAGCACGTCCTGAGCGGGCTGTTTGCGTATTTCTCACCATTAGGAACCCCTCCCATACTCTTTCTGCCCGGGGCACACACACAGCGAAACATCCCCGTGGCTGTATATAAGGATTTCCACTACAACGTTCTATTCGGCAACACATCGCCAGTTGTCTATGAGCGGGGCTGGTGTGTAGGCGCTAGGCATCATGAGCAGAATGACCACGCAAACCATCACTTTTGCAGTGCCAGTACTTACTTGCATGCTCATAAATTGACTCGCAGAGGTGTAGGTAACTTTTGCAATTGATTATGGAAGAAGGGCAGCATCTTTCATTGGTTTCATTCAACTTAAATGGCTCTATGATGTAGTGAGATGTGTTTATATATTTCTACATTTTGGATCCTTTACGATTTTGATGAAATCTAAGCACTTCGCTGTTTGAATATCCTTGGTATGTCTGTCAAAACTAAATATCCCCCCGCTCGAAGCTTTAAAGGGACCCTCCCACCTTCAAAAAAGTTAATGAATTGGCACGAAAGTGATGTCGCTCGGTTCAGAAAGAGCGAAAACGAATATCTACCAAATTTCATCGAAAAATATTCACCGGTTTTCAAGATATTAGACTTTTACTTTTGTTTACTTTTTGGGATCTCCGCTGTTCCTAGCGACTTTATTTGAAAGTGCGGCATTTGTTGCGCGCAAAGCAGCATATACCACCGCGTGCTACCAAACGTTTTAGTAAAAGATTTAAAAATCGTTAGATCTCCGCTGACGTCACAAATTCTAAGGGGGCATACCAATGCACTAGCCCTTAGAATCCGAAAACTGCAAGTTTGAAATTCCATATCTCCGAATTAAAGCATTTGTCGATGTTGTGAGTGCCCAAACCGGTATTTGCAGGCCATGGCCACCAATTTGGCTATCTCAACTCAAAACTAATGTTAAGGTGGGAGTGTCCCTTTAATGAAGTTTTCCTCGAGTATGTGATCTCTTCCTTGTTGTCATTTGTCGCCGTGTTCTACCGGCGCCCCGCTGCGTTTTTCGATGTGTGACCTCGTCCAAAGCTGCGTACATGCCCCACAGTGCGACCCCGCACCCGCGCTGTACCAGCACCCCCGACGCGTGACCTCTGTCGACACAATCCCGGCGTGACCGTGACACGGGGTCAGCGGCCGGCCGTTCGCCTGCACATCTGCGTACATCCCGCGCCCGTTTGCATATTGAGGCGCGCGCCTCGACTATGGATGAGCGAACCACTCCCCGGCTGGCCAATCAGTGAAGAACGCTACCTGGAAGGACGGGCCGACAGACGCTCCCTCGCAGACTCGATGTTCTTTCGAGCCCTGGCAACCAATCACACAGGAACGGGTTTTAAAGCTCCCAGGAATTCACATAATAACTAGGCATGGGTTTCACTTGATGTAGGGGTGTGCGCAGACTCATTCATCTACGTCAGGGTGCGTCCGAGGTCACCGCTCATCAGATTTCGTGCGTATAAATTTAGCGTCTGACTCCCGCTGCTTGGAACCTGAGTGATGGTCTTATGAATTGCCAAAAGACAAAGTTGCGTAATTCTAACAAAAAAATCATCCGCCATCTCTCATATTCATCATAGCTGGACAGAATAAATGCGGGGCGTGACAAATTTCTCATATTAAGCGTATTTGACGAGCTAATTTTTATCATGCCTTCAAAATTGCATCGGATGTGACGCGCCATTGTTCTTCGTTTCTTTTTTGTCCATGAGCGTAGCGTTTCCTTTTAACACGTTTTGGCACAATTTTTGCACGTGCGTTCATTCACTACTTCCGATTCTCAGCATCCGTCTCTCGCACAACAAGTATCGTACTATTCCCTTCCCCCGCTGGACGCACGTTAGGGTGGCCGTGGCGCTGAGCGCGGCGCCCCCGGCACGCAGTGAGAGCAGGCCGGCCGGGGCGTCGCGGGTTCACGGTGGCTGCCCCGGTCCCGTGCTTTGGGTCAGGACCCACCGCTAACAGCGATACTGACTGCACACCTCGCTGGCTCCGCGCGGCTCGCTCGGCTTCTGGTGGTGGTGTCTGCCACTGCGGTGATGACGGCAGCTCAGTATCATGCCACGAAAAGAACGGGAGTAGATCGGCGGCGCTGTCATCGCGGCGCCTTACGGTTGTGGTGGCCTCGTGTTACATTCCCCTGGCTGACGGCTGTCGAGACTCGGTAGCGAGTCGTGACTCAGCTATGAGTCAAAGTGACTCAGCTGCTAGTGTTACGAGCTGGCTGTAAGCTCTCCGTGAAGTGTCTTCAAGTCTCATTCTCAGAGACTTAAACACATTCAGTAAAGTGTTAACTGTTAATTGCTCAATAGGAAGGCTATATGTGAGCATATAGAGATTTACGTGTGTATAGATATTTTATGTTTATTATCGATTTGTAGCACACATGCACCATAGCCTCACCGGGCGGTACATATCTTAAGTCAAAAGAGGTCGAGACGGTTTGCGTGTCTTTGATGGCCCGCGGACCAGCTGGCGACACTGATCTCGGACCAATCTGTTCATCTGGAGCTCGTGCTGGAACTACTCCGGCCGACTTTTACACACGCTAGGCACGCTCACTGCCGTGTGGATCAGGCAGTTTTGAAGAGGGCGATGAAACATCAAGCGACATTGCTCCGATAATTCTTTGATAGTTATAAGCATGTGCACACTCTCTAATGCATAGTGACAAATAGGTTAATTCATATAGGTAAGAGCTAAATAAGAAAAACATCTCTATGCTTACCGTAGGCGCCCTCAATCCATGGAGACTGCCGCTGCGCATAGGAAGATATCCTAGTGTTCAGCGGCACAGTATTCTTCAGCGTTTTCCCGTGGTGACTGCAGTTCATCACAGGAACGAAAACCTGCTTAGCACGCGATACCGCAGCATAGGAGACCTCAGCGTCGGGAGACTGCAGCTTTGCACAAGCCACTAACCCTGCATGTCTGGCGGCACAGTCTACCACCAGAGGGAACCCAGCGCGGCTGAGGCGGGTCCTGCGACGCCCGGACCGTGCAACGTTTAGCTGGCATGCCGGACAGCTCTGTGCGATGTTCCCTTTGCCGGACAGCCGGGTTGTATAAAGTTTCTGTGCTGGGTGGTGTGCAATTTGAAATTCTCGTCCTGGAACCTATTTTTTTTAAGCACAGACTCATGCATGACATGACAACCATGCATATGTAATTTGAAAGTGCTGTTGCATATCCGAGCTACAGCTCATCAAGACGCAGATCAGCTAAATGAGCTGCATCTCCTCAGGACACTATCCGACGTAGCCGGGGGCCACTAGAGAGCGCCGCGGCCGCTCGACAGATGGTCGGCGCCGTCCGTCCGTCCGTCTGTCCGTCTGCCGGGCTGCAGTTTCTCTCTCCGTCGCCCGCGACACTCCCCGGCGAGATGGATGGTCCGGGGGACGGCTCTGTAGGCTATCACCACCGAATGGCCATATTGTATCTCAGAGGCGCCCATTCCAGCCAGCGGCGCACCCTCTCGTTTCTGGGTTACCCAGTCAGGGGCCGGTGACTATCGGAGGCCGGATGTTTT